ATTCCGGAGTAAATGTAGAAATGTATGTCGTAGGTTTATGTTCATACATGGAGAAAATACACAAGGCATCTTGATGACAAGACTATGTACACAGGAAAATGCAATTACTCGACTAAAACCGACATCTTAGAGATGTAGTATCATTTATGGCAGGGAGAGGTAATGGTGCCATGATCACATGACAAATCATGACAATAGTGACAATAATTTTACAACCCATTCGGGGGCCGACACAAAGTTTTGGTCCAGGGAAGTGACTGGCAATTTCGTGGAACACTCCCTTTTCAGGCATTTCAGCAACTTCTTTAAAACACACGTCTTATTTCAACTGGACAGTCTTCTCCTCCTTCTGCTTTATGGTTCTGTTAAGAAGGACCAATAACCTAACTCTCTAACAGCCTCGTCAGACAGTTCGATTTTTCCTGAACTTCAGGCAGAGTGCCTTTCACTCAGGAATCTGACTTTCAGACGGTCGTGAATTCAACTGAAGTTTGTTTTTCCTGCACACGGCGGCATCTCCCTTCGCCCGGGTCATAAGTCTTGCGTTGCCGCCCTCCATTAATTCAATACAGCGAGTCCCTCCGCCCGCCCATAAAACGCTCTTGGATTTAGTGGGAGCTGCGCGACTACATTCTCCAGCATTCCGCCCCTCCTTCGTCTCCTCGAGCTCTTGCCTCTCTCCTCTTCTCGCCTTGCACCTTTTTACATCAATTCATTTGCAGTTTCGCTCGCGATCTGCGTCTTTGGTCCTGTTTTTTTTTCACTCGCCACGCCCACTCCTTCTCTCACTTGCTCCTACCACTCGTTTGTTTTGGCCGCCCTTTCGCCCTAGTAGAAGGCTCTTCTTAATGTTGATTCAACTCACAAAAAATTCCTCTCTCCATGGTCTTTTCTCTTCCCGCATTCATCTACAGTTTCTGCGATAGCTTGTTCGTTCCAGGATCTCACCCTTCCCACTCCCCTTTGACACTGTCTCCTCACCTTTGGCCCTTTCCCTTCACCCCTGACCTTGTCCCTTCACCCTTAACTTTACCCCTTTACCTTTGACCCTGCCCTTTCATTTGACCCCTGTTCTTTAACCTTTGACCCATTTCTGACCCTGTTCTTTAACCTTTGACCCTGTCCTTTCACCTCTGACCTTGTTCTTCACCTTTGACCCTTGTCCCTTCACCTCTGACTTCATCCCTTTACTTTTGACCCTGTCCCTTCACCTCTGACCTTGTCCCTTCACCTCTGACTTTACCCCTTTACTTTTGA